GCAAAAGAAAAACTGATTTGATCTTCTTTTTTTTTTTATGTGAAGAAGTAAAAATTTTCAAGTGATGAGATTTGATCTAAAATTCTCACGACGGTCGTCTGAGACTTTGTGTCGATTGATGTACCGATCACTCCTCTCTGATGAAAACTGTTAATTCATTCGAAACCAGTCTCCTTTTTGTTTTTCTTTGTTTCAATATATTTTCCAAAATTATCTTCTGTTCGTATACGTTTTGATTGGTTTATCTCCAGATTAATTACTTTAAACGAATCTCTTTTGAGGTAGATAGATATTAGAAGCAATGAAGAACAAGAAAAGGATAAAAATTGATGAACTATGTTATACACAGAAACTTGTTTACTTATTCCCTCTTGAGTAACTACATGAAGCTTGTGAATTTGAATGTTGTGTTATTGGTAATCATTGAATTAGAATGAAATTATGGCATGTATAAGGCCTTAATTTGAAGGGGAAAGTATAGAAATTCATTTACTTTTTGTCTTGTTGAGGTAAAAGAAACATCATAGATTGGAAGTCTTGTACTATTGGTTTGTAGTTAAGCTCTTCTCTCAGTTGCCCAAGGAGGGGTTAGAAGTAGGCCCAAGAGAGACAAATCTCATTACATAACAATCTTTGTGTTTCGAATATTTTTATGAATCTCTTTGTCTCTTGTGTGCAACTCATAATAATCAGTCTTGTAATTCCAGTAATAAAATTGTCTTGACCCCAAAAACTCTCAAAATCTAGGCACGCACAACACAGTTCTCGCTCGACACTATCATCTGCATGTTTTGCACGTGCTGCTCAAGTCCATTGTGTGTCAATCCGGTTCGGTTTTCGCGGTTTGACTTTTACAGTATTTGATCCGGTTTATCATCAAATAATTTCAAATTGCTGCGACCTTGTAGAAGAACAGATCGAAACTAAAAAAAAACTTTCGTTAATTTGACCGAGAATTATTATATAGAAGAGAAAGATATTTAAAGGAAAAAAACAAAAGAGATATATAATAGGGTCTTTTGAAATAACCATAACCACAATTTTGATCAAGGAAGAAGATACTCACTCTCTAACTTGAAACCTCATCCACCCAAAAACTACACAAATGTCTTCCAATCCTTCTCTTATCTTTCTCCTTATTCCTTTTTTATATATTCCTTCCAAATTTTCTCCAATTTTCATTTCATTTTCTCGACAATGGCTACTGCTTCTGTTTCTCTCGCATCTTCCAATTCTTCTTCTTTTCCCGCTACAATTGCCCCTGAAAGGATCAGGTTTAGTAAGGTATGTGGTCGATATACTCTGATTTTAGGTGTAAAGTTTGCAACTTGGATAAATGGGGTTTTGCTTACAAGTCTAGAGAATCGATTGCATGAGGACAATTGATTGATGATCTCTACTTGTGGAAGATCAGTGTACTAGATTAGGTCTCTGGTTTGTTGTTGTTTAGTAAAGTCTGGAACTTTGGACAAGTAGCTTCTGGTTTTTTGGAAGATCAATGTATTGAGTTTCATTTCTGGTATTTGATGGGATCTTGATTAGGTTTTTGTTGTTGTTGTGTTCTAAAGGGTGCTTTGTTCTACAAAAGCAACAATGTAGTGACTGGTAAGAGAGTGGTTTCCATAAGAGCTGAAATCACAACAGATACTCCTGCTGCTGTGAAGAAAGTTGAGAAAGTGTCTAAGAAGAACGAGGAAGGTGTGATTGTTAACAGGTACAGACCGAAGGAGCCTTACACCGGAAAAGTCCTTCTCAACACCAAAATCACTGCAGATGATGCTCCTGGAGAGACCTGGCACATGGTTTTCAGCCATCAAGGTTACTTGATTCTCACAAAAAGAAGCTTCTTACTTACTTTATAGTTAGTTCTGTGTATGATTCCTCTCTTGATGGTAGTTGAAGTAGCATTTGTGTGTCTTCGATAGGAGAAATCCCGTACAGAGAAGGGCAATCTGTTGGTGTGATTGCAGATGGAATTGACAAGAATGGTAAGCCTCACAAGGTCAGGCTTTACTCGATTGCAAGCAGCGCTCTTGGAGATCTCGGCAATTCTGAAACCGTAATAAGACCATTTCCTTGACAAGATATATGAAAATAATTGTGGTTTGTTTTGTCTGGTTAGCTGAATGAACAAGGTTTTTGCAGGTTTCTTTGTGTGTGAAAAGGCTTGTCTACACTAATGACGCAGGAGAGGTTGTTAAAGGAGTTTGCTCAAATTTCTTGTGTAAGTACCAGTGAAATATACTTGGTTTCTTATTAAAGTTACCCTTTCACCTATTCGACTTTCGAGTTTTGTTCTCCTTTTTTTTTTTCAGGTGACTTGACACCCGGAAGTCCTGTTAAGCTCACTGGTCCTGTAGGAAAAGAAATGCTTATGCCAAAGGATCCAAACGCTACTGTTATTATGGTCTCTCCCCCCTAAACCTCGATTATGTCGACTTGCTTATGATTCAACCTCTGTGGTTCTGATTCTTGAAACAACATTAATCACTAATAGAATCCTTTCTTCTTGATGACCATGACAGCTTGCCACAGGGACAGGAATCGCTCCTTTCCGGTCTTTCTTGTGGAAGATGTTCTTCGAGAAACACGATGACTACAAGGTGAGTGAAAGCTTTGGTCGATGTGCTTTTCGATTTTAACCAAATATATCGAAATCTGAAATATGTGCAATCGTTGTGATGCAGTTCAATGGCTTAGCTTGGTTGTTCTTGGGTGTACCAACCACTAGCTCATTGCTCTACCAAGAGGCATACACACACATACACTCTTCTTCTGATTTGTTCTAGTTTCTCAAACCCTTCCAATTCCAAAGAAATCAATCCTTTGTTTTGTTGTGATTGAAAATCAGGAGTTTGATAAGATGAAAGCAAAGGCCCCCGAGAATTTCAGGGTGGATTACGCGATAAGCAGAGAACAAGCGAACGATAAAGGAGAGAAAATGTATATTCAGACAAGAATGGCGCAATACGCAGCTGAATTGTGGGAGTTATTGAAGAAAGACAACACTTTTGTCTACATGTGTGGGCTTAAGGGCATGGAGAAAGGAATTGATGACATTATGGTCTCATTGGCTGCAAATGACGGTAAAAAATAGCAAATTGATAACACTCTAAATCTTGAAACATTCATTAAACAATTAAAATCAACACTTTTTCTTGTGATGGTTTGCTTTTGTAGGTATTGACTGGTTTGATTATAAGAAGCAGTTGAAGAAGGCAGAGCAATGGAATGTTGAAGTCTACTGATTAAGAGCTGCTAACATTCGGTGGCAAGTATAGTAGAACAAAAGTGTAATTTTCGCATTCAAAATTCTGTAATTTGAAGTTAAGTATTTTAGATATATTGTACTAAAAAAGGGTTCTTTTATCTTTCATTAATTGCCATTATTTGACTGTAAGATAAATGATTAGCTACCCATTTAAAAATGTGAATTTTGTTTAAGACAAATTAATTGGCTGACTGCTCATGATATCAAACCTCTCAACTTTAAGAACACAAACTTGTTCAACTATTTGACTGTTGTGCTTCTAAACTATCGGAGAGAGGCATAGAGCTCAAACATAGCACCACTATTTTGGTAATAGTCAAAATCTACTTGATACAATTTCTTTACCTCGAGAAAAAATACCCAAATTTCTTTACATGATACAATTCAAATTTCTTCTCCCCCAATCAACCTTCATAGAGATACAGAGGGCACCTTCATAAATCTTCATAAAAGGGGTATTTTTGGGTTTTCACATATTGTTTAAATGGGTCTATAATAAAGTGTGCTTTTTCTTCCCACAAGTATCCATCCATAATCATAATCACGCTTTACACATCACTTAATCATGTTTAACAGATTGGAAGACAAACGACTTGTGGAGGCTTACGAGAGTTTTGGAGCAAACTGGAATCAGATTAGCGTCATTGAGTTTCACGGTGCCAAGACACCGGAGTCTTGCCGAGACCGACTTTTCTACCTCCGAAACAGAGTAAGCCTAACGTGAATATCTCTGGCAATTTCTTAGCACCGTCACAAATCACAATCTTGAACTCTGTTTATTGTGTCTTTTCAGAAATGGAATCCAGAAGAAATCGCTCAACTTCAGAAACTCCACAAGTTTCTGTATCCTAGATGGATCCAAATAGCCATTTCTCCGCGTCGTCCGGTATCAGAATGCATTGACAGATTCAACGGAGCATCAACCGGCGTTTCTTCCTCCGGTGAAATAAAGTTAGACGCAAGCAAAAGGCGTTCGTTATTCTACAGTTGCCGTGAAAACAGAGTCGCCACGGTTCAAGAACAGCTCCGGGAGACGCCACATCTAATTAACGCCATCGACAGCAATGAGAGAACTCTTCTCCACATTGCCTCTCGTCGTGGATTCAAGGATTTGGTCGATACTCTACTCAATGCCGGAGCCAACATCGACGCAAAAGACAACTTCGACAATACCGTAAGTTCCTTTTGATTCTTGCTCTGTTCTCGTAAAATTCCGACTTCTTGCTCTTGGTTCTTGCTTTGTTCCTGGAAAATTCCGACTTCCTGTTCTGGGTTCTTGCTTTGTTCTCGAAAAATTCTGAATTCATGTTATGGGTTCTTGCCCTGTTCTCGAAAAATTTCGAGTCTCTGTTCTCGAAAACTTTCGAGT